GAAAGTGATTAGAAAGCATGATTATTCTCCGTTTAAAATTGTTTGGTGTAAAATAATATATAAAAATTCAACAACTGTCACACTACTATCCTTGCACGTATTTACATATACCTTTTACTAGGGCTAAACTAGATTCGTTAACACATGTCTAACAAGTAGAAATAAGCGTGTTTGACCCTATTGACCCTATATATATTTTTGATCAGGATCACTATAGGAGTCATTTACAAATTTTTATACATATGTTGTGTAAATTATGTTTTAGTTATTTCCCTGGGTTGTCCCACGCCTCAGTCCCACGGGAAGGGGTGATGACGTCAGCCCGACTTGGTCGGCCTCTCGATCGGGGAGGGGAGCGGAGATCTTCTCTGCTCGTGATGTGCAACGTTTCGTTGCGCAGCTTGGTATAGGTTTAGTATATGTTGGGAGAACTTTATCCGTTATTGACTGCCCTTAAGGCTAGCCAACCAATATAAAATATGCAGCCTTCGCTGGAGTAGGATTCTTGAGCGTGTGCTCTTTATTATAATTGAAATCAAACTGAACTTATTCTATTTTACTCTAGCTATTCGCGGCCGGTAAGCCGACCGCTCGTCCAGCAAAGTGCTGACACTAGCAAAAACTGCATATCTCCCAATACTGGGAAACCGTTGGGAACCAGGCACGGCCCCTAAGGCTTTTATGCTGAATCTGCATATAAAATACTAGGGTAGCGACCCTGAACTTATACCGACTTAAATTTACTCATTAACCGTGTTAACTTGTATACGAAGTGTTTGGTGATGATTGGTACTGCAAGATAAAAAGAGTAATCAATTGAGTTGTAATACGCATCATCGACCCTATTCTTGTAATATTAGAGGGGAACCATTTTCCGAAAAATAATGTACATGTTTTGTGGAAATGGTGAATTATTGCCTATAAATAAATTACTTGATACTTTAAGCTGTATTAAATTTTGATATCCGTTACTCCTAGACTAAAAGGAAATACTAGATTTGTTGAAAGAAATTTAACATAAATTATAAAGAAGCGTTTAGAATATATAAATTTAGCAAATTCTTCATCAGGATCATACAGACGGACAGGGGTGTCTGTATAAACGCCTCGATCACAGGAACTACAAAAGCTAGAAAGTTGAGTATAGTCATGCAGATTCAAATTTCTATCGGTATGCCAACATTTTTTCCCACACCCATTCTAATGCCCACAAACCATCCAAAAATGCCACGTCCACACTTTTTGAAACATCTGTTGATTTGTTTCCATTTTATCATTTGTCTTTCTAGTTTCTATCGATATCCAAAAAACCGTTAGCACTCTCACTAGCTTCATATACGAAAACGAGTAGTCTAATAGTCGAAGAACCCGACTTTAGCATTCTCTCTTCTTTTTCTATAAAAAGTCTTTCGCTGACATTTCTTTACTTTACACGAAATATATATTATAAGCACATGAAATATATATAATTGTATACAAAAAAAACTCTACTATATTTCCCTTGATTATATTTATCTTTTTATGGTACTAAATTTCATTTTAATTCATTCGATTTCATTTTACTATAAAAATATGCATACCTGTTGGAATGATTTAATAACGTATTTTTATTGTATATACATAGAATATCTAAATTGTAAATTTTTTTTATTTGATAACTTATAATTATTATTCATGTAATACATTACATAGGATGAATTTCACCCTTTTATTGAGGCACTCTTACCGTACGTCAAATCATTTTCCTACTCTTTGTTTAATTTGCAAGCCGCCAAACGAAAATATTATAAGAAACATGAAAAACGTATGTCGCTGGAAGAAGAAAGAGAAAGAAAGAAGAAAGAGAAGAAAGACTACGGTGTTTGGTAGTATACTTTTCAATCAAATTCTTGACCTCGATTTTGCCTAGTTTAAGGAAAATGTTCCTGCGAATCAAGCATAGATCTGCGTCTGTGTCGACGAGACCTTTGAATTGAAGATTTGAACACCCTATTACTTTCAGTTCCTGGCCAGAAGTTGTAAGCTTTCTTTTGGTTTTATCGCTGGGTTCTCCAAGTGAACAGTACTAGCATAGCTCTCATGTTTTACTTCGACCGTGCGCTGTGCAGCACGATGACCTGGGTGTCCCCAATGTAAGCATTTATAATCCTTCGTTAGTTATAGGATACCTTGTATGTGCCGCGGACTGTCATATATTTGCACCTTTAGTCCCTCAAACGTCTTAAAATGGTAAAACATAATTTAGCTTGCCTTTGCGAAATACGCTATTAAGCTTTTTTTGTCTAGGTTTACTGGATTTGCTGTTTCCATCAACGCGTACAAATATTCATGTAGGGTAATTTTCTTTTCTTAATGCACGGGTACAGATGGAACTTCTCAGAATAGCTGTTTTCATCTACGTCCTGAATACCAAAGAGCGCAATGCAAATTTTGTATTTCCTAATTTTCGTTCGGGAATTTTCTAGTGCGTTACTATTTGGGACGACAATTACATTACAAAAGACATGGAGGATCTTTTGAAAGATCTTTTGCAGCAGTCAGTCGTGGTTACATCTTGACATCTCTTGTCCCCCAACAATAACACCAATATTTATAATACTAAATAATAATAATAGAATAATTATTAAGCCTAAGTTTTATTTTTAAGTAAACCCTATTATTAAATATTTATTGTAATATATATTTATTTATAAATTAAATATAATAAAAATATATAAAAAAAAATATTTCGAATACCATCAATTACCCTTTCGAATTACCCTCTGTTTAGGAACATTTTTTCTAAATTTTTAAAAAATATGCTTTGATTTTAGAAAAGTGCACCTTAACCTAAGGCAGGAAAAGTCAGCCTACCCTAAATAAATGAAAAAAGGTCCCTATAATTAAGAACAGCTAGCCCTATATTTAGGACAAATCTGCATAAGCTATGTCCTAGAAGTAAGCAATATTATGCAGATTTTTTTTAAATTTATTTGCTTCGGTATCGTTTGGTGCCTTCTGATCATTACCTGGCCAGGAAGATGTACATAGTAAGGTACGTAGAGCCTTGTCCTCTTCGGCCGTCGGGAATGGGAGAGGATTGGCGAGACCACTCGCCAATGAGTTTGGGTATGTTGCAAGTTTGTCTGCGTATCGGCTGCTGCGGAGGTTGATCTGATCACCTATCAGAGTAATCCGGAGATCCCGCTATTGGTGAGGTACCAAGGAAGCCCGGACGGACGCGATAGCACGTGTCTGCACAGTTCTCAGTCTGTCAATGGTGCCTACAAAGGCTAAAATGTAAGATTAAAAATGCATGTTTCAGAGGGATAGACACAGCGCAGGTTTATTTCCAAATTGACCCACGCCCACTCTAACGCCCAAAAACCGCAAAAAATGTTTTGATATTTTTTTTTTTACTTTTGAATATATCTTGTATATTTTTACAGATTTACCAAAATACTTTTTGCCACGCCCAGTACAACGCTCACAAACTGCCAAAAACTGTAACGCCCACCAGGAATTAAGAAAAATTACATTATGTGTGTTGGTATTGATGTGTGTGGAGTGAAATAAGTCTCCAAAGTGTGTTTGTATTGCGTGTAGACTTAGGTTCTACGCATTATTGAAATACTGTTACCGGTCACTGAGTTTTCGATCGCAGAAGAAGACAGACATGCCTCGCTCCCGAGTAGTACGCGCCAGAAAACGATGCGCTGACACGGTGGAGGATGATGTGTAGTACAATATTGATTCATTTCCGACATATACAGGGTGCGTTATGAAAGTAATGCGCATGGTTTCATTGTCACGTAACTACCTGTCGTAGCACGCTCGGACCTGTCTGAAAATTTGGGGCGGAGTCTCTCCTTTCCAACGCGCTCGGTCTCAGTTCGCTCTGAGCAATAGAAGTGGTAGGACGTTTCGTAGAGCGAAGTCATTTTTTCTGTTGTGTCACGGTGCGATGGAGCGTTCGCTGGAACAGCGGTACGCCATAAAGTTTTGTGTGCGACTTGGCAAAATGCGTGACAATGAAACCATGCGCATTACTTTCATAACGCACCCTGTATAACAAATATTATTTGCAGGGTCTGTGCATGTCCTGATGAATACCGAAGCTTGTGGGTTGCGCATGCTTTTCATAACCAAGGGCGGCCAGCTTTGTTTATTCAGGGTAAACGTAACCTGCTTGCATTGCAAGCCATTGCTCTACACATGTTAAATGGCGGGCTAGTTGCATCGTAGCTTTTGCTGGGCATCTGGATCGACATACTATTACGGTGTCGTCAGTGGATGTGGATATTGTTAGCTGGTAGTCTGTTGGGATGTCCGCCGTGTATGACATATATGGATTGAGCCACACTTCTTTGTGCATTCCATCTTCTATTGTACAACCGCTTGAAGTGCCTGAAATTAATTTTACAGCGAAAACTCTTTCGTACAGGTATGACGTGTGTTTTGAGGCACCAGCTTGATTAAAGCTTAACCAACCATACTCTATCGAATGCTTGTGCAACGTCTATTAATAACGCTGTGCTGTTCACGATGTTCAAAATCAGTGCGAATTTCTGTTGTGATGCGGTCATCCTGCTAAATAGCTCCATTTGGGAAAGGTATAACATTTTAGTAATTGCTTTAAAGAGCAAGCAGGTGTGTAGAACTGAATTCTATTGTATCTTGTGGTGCTATGTCAGTTGTGGATAGGTGTGGGAAGTAAATGAGTTGGTGGCTGGATTCGGTTGAAAAACTTTTTTGAGATGATCAGCGAAGGATTTGCTCTGTCCGTGTCACTACTACAAATAGATCAGTTTCCGGTTAAATTACGCAGGAGTATAAATGTTTCTGTTAGATACTGTAGATTTCTGTGGGCTTTTCACAATGAGTTTTTTGTGCTGCTTACAACGCAAATTTCTATAAACCCTTTTTGGTTACTCTACCAGTAACGGGATTTAAAACTCGGCGATATATAATTCCTCAAAAACAGCAGGAGAGGATATGTATTTTTTAAAAAGACTAATGCTAGTTAAATATATTTATAAATGATTATAATACGCATTATCTATGGTTCTTGGTTTATTCGTCTTGAGCTTGAAATTAGGTGCTGTCGCTTATACGTTGTGTTTTTGAGTATATCCTGTTTATGTATGCCGAAAAAATTGTTAGATGTAGGTATTTTAATTTTATTTTCAAGCTCGTCGTCAACTGCTCCTAATGTCTTGACACCAACATCTGATATATTGGCTAGGGGGCTAGCCGTAGAAATCTTTTTGTATGGCATTTTAGGTTCTACGTTAAAACAATAACAGAAAAATAGAGTTAGTATACATTGAATTTTCATTAATAACTATATATTTACCTTGGTTTTTTATAGACTCTTTGGGACTTATGTGACTTTGTTCAGGAACAGATATTCTGAGACTAGCGGTGAGAATCTCTAAATTTTCATTAAGGCTTTCCGCCAGATCACTATGACCTGCTTGCTTATCTTGCCAATTTTTTAAATCAATGTTATTTAAATCATTGATATGGTCATTCCTTAAATTATATAATGTAACTAAATATTATTGAAAAAATACATTAAAATGTACAAACCGCATTTCTTGAATCGGAGGTTCGAAAGCGACATCTGATAAACTGCTTGGTTGAGGGTCCACTATTTTCTGTTGGGTCCTAAATAAAAGCGTTAAGTGCATTAGAAACATGCATAATTAAATTTAATTTATATTTAATCTCAACGCTACATTTCATAATTTTGATAATATAATCTTACTTTCACAACAAATGAAATGATTCCAGCCATAAATGTGTATATTTATATTCGTTACTCGTAGAGTAAAAGATTCGTTGAAAATTATGTTACAGGCAGAAGGAAGCGTTTTTTTAGTCCAATAGCGCAAGTTTTCACAGTCTAAATGTTGCCACGCCCACTCTAACGCCCACAAACCACACAAAACTGTCACGCTCACAATTTCGAAAACGCTTTATGATATTTTTGAATATATCTTTTGAATATATCTTGTAAATTTCTACAGATGTACCAAAATACTTTTTGCCACGCCCATTCTAACGCCCACAAAGCGCCAAGCTCTCACGCTCACACTATTACAAACTTGTTAACTTATTTTTCATATTATTATTGTTACTCCAATTTCTAGCGATATTCCAGAACATTTTGAAATTTCTCGATAGCACTTCCACTAGCAGATACCCGTTAATCTGATAGTCGGGGAAATCGAATATACCATTCTATCTTGTTTTTTATTCAAAATATACTTGAATAGAGACCGTATATACAAATTTTGATAAAGCCTTCCGAATAAATAAATCTTAGATATTTTATTTTGCCAAAAAATTTTATATTTTTTATATTTTATGGTTTTTTTTATATAAGTAACAGCCCATTACGAATAAACAGCTCTGTTAGGGAACATGGCGGGCTAAATTTCTGTTATGAAATTCATTTATAGAATAATATTTTTATTAATTAATCTGTCAAAAAATATGACTTTAATTTTCTTAAGTTGTTATAGAGATGATCTCCGAATGAGTTTATATCAAAATTATTGTATAATATAGACTACATATACCAATCTACTAGTTGTAGATTTTATCAAATTGGCATTACTTAGAGCAGTTAAACAAAGCAAAGAAGAATTATATAAGCTTAAGCTGTCCCTATCTGAATACACAAGTCTGCAAATCACGACTATTATAAATCACAACGTCATACATTCAAAATCATTCAAATAATAATAAAACCTTATCTTAAAACATAACGCATAATTTTATTCAGACCTTACCATTCGGATCCATTTACTTTCGTTGAAATCAAGTCATATAACTTTTCGGGGCAAGTTTCGAGTACTTGCGTATAAATAACATTCAGTAATTCTGCTGATATCTTGAAAAGTTCTTCATAGTGATTTATCATGGTTCTGACAAAAATAAAATAATTTGAAACAAATTAACATATATAATTTTTTTGTTGCTAAAAACTATAGCAGCTGACACAAATATTTACATATCATATTATTACATTATCAATTTATTATATGATTATCATTTTATTATTACTTTATTACTCTAACACTGACGCAATTGTCATACAGTCAATAAGAGTCTTAAAAAGAATGTACTTATTCTTGTCCTAAAGGATAAAACTTACTATTAATAGAGAAACGTATTTTATATTTGATTAGAATTCGTTGAAGGCAACTACACAAAACTTTAGATCAATTAGCCCAATAACAAATATACGGTTAATAACATTCGGCGTTCCAAATGCTAAACAAATAATGTAATGTAATACAACTTATTTATACGTTAAAGTATACAAATCAATGACGTACGAACGTAGTTAAATTTGTCTGTTGAACATATGTATGTAGATCTTCTCGGTCGTTATCTATATCTGAAGGCAAATTTCCTAATCACATAGTGATTAGACAAGGAACAAGTATCTGCTAGTCGAGTTCATAGACTATAGTAACATAGTTATTTATATAAGCTTTCTTATGATCCCTCAAGCAGATATATGTATGATAAAGTCTTTTGTTGTAGCCTATATGAAATTAAAATTTAAGTTCCCGACGGAGAACTTACTCCTAAGATTACTTTTTTAGATGACGATTGCGCTTTCGGGTTCCCCGAATATCAGATACCCTTTACTCAGCTAGTGGAAATGCGAAATTTCAAAATTTTTTTTTGGCATATCGATAAAAGTTGGCAACAAAAAATAAGTTAAATAAAATTGCATTTCCACCAGCTGATTAACGGGTATCTGATAGTCGAGAAACTGGACTATAGTGTTATTTCTTATTTTTGAAATAATTTTAATTTATAAAACATTAAGAATATGCTGACAAACCTTTTACGAGATAGTAGTTTGGGTACTGGCTTCAAAAAGTCTTGAAAATGACGTTGTGCGAAATTCAGGCTACACTAAGCCTTATCAGAAGCATAAAAAACAGATAAGTATTATATTTAACTAACCTTACGACATTAATGGCATCGGTCATATTTTCTTTCTCTTTATCCCTTGAAAATGTCAAAAGAGTGCTTCGCAAAATATTTGGAGCAAATACTGTGGCTAGATTATTGCTATCCATTTTATTTCCAAGAGTTAAACAACATCCATCAGTAGACCAGATATCATCACTGTGTGCTGCCACTTTAGCTAGAAATACTAGTAAGACATACAACGTGTCTCTGTGTGGTATGGGAAGTAGTCTTATCAAATGTGAAATAGCCTCTAGTTGCAAGCGTCGATTCCGAATACCTGAAATTCGTTTGATTAATGCTGAATGCTTACGCAAGTTTACAATACATGCGTTGTGTTTTTAAAAACGTTAAATAGAGTGTGTTGCAAAGTAGTGGTTCCGGAAGATCACGTAGAAATTCTTTGAGGAGTGTGGCTACATCATGTGGGCATGTATCAACAGAAATTCCAAGATTAATGTCTTTATCGAATTCCTCCCGCAACTAGTAAATAAATAACAGAGATATAATCCTCAATTTTTGTTTAGTGAATTTGCAACACTTACTTGTTTTACTCGTTTTTTGGACGTGCTTACCCGAAAGAGTCCAACTTGTTGTAACCCATTCTCTTCTAAGTAATCAATGCAGTTGTTTACGAACATTGGTACCATTAATTGTGATTGTTCTTGATAGGATTTAACGAAATTAATTTCACTGTGTTCCATTTCAGACTGAGATAGCGATGCTAAAGGCTTTGATATATTTGTAAAGGAGCCTCTAAAATATTCAGAAAGGTCCGTAATTCCGTATTCAAGGGACTTTGATGGTAAGCTTTCACATGACCTGACCTGAAAAAGAATATATGTCAACCTTTATTTGCAATTTTATATTTTAAATGCGGATCGGACAAATCTATATTAGATCATAAACAAAATTTGTTGCCTTACTAAAAATGATAAAAGGTTTTAAAAAATAGTTCAGGGGTTTTAACCCACCTGGAGATGATTCGTTCATTACCACCGCTTTAGTACAGATCTCTTTATTTGAGACATCGTTTACGCAATGCCTATATTGAAAGAATCTTTCTTAAAATTTGTATACCCCTTACTCGTATAGTAAAAGGTTACAAGGTTTGTTGAAAATCATGTAACAACAGGTCACTAACCAAGTCCATGTCCGTCTGTCGGCCCGTCCCTATGAACGCTTTGATTTCGGAAACTTTAAAATTTAGAAGGCTGAGATTGAGCAAGCAGATTTTAGTTGTATCATTTTTGTATCATTCCGGTTACACGTAGAGTAAAAGAGTATTTTAGATTCGTTAAAAAGTGTGTAACAGGTCGAAGGCATCGTTTCCGACCATATAAAGTATATATATACTTGATCAGGATGCCGATTCGAGCTGACCAAGTCCGTCTGTCCGTCCGAACGTAGGGATCTCATAGACATAGACGCAGAGAAAGTTTATTAACTAATGTTGCCACGCACATTCTAAGTCCCACAAAACAAAAGTGCCACAACCATACTTATGAAAAATGTTTTAATATGTTCTTGTTTCACAGTATGTTTCATATTTTAAAATTTTATGTTTCAAATATTTGTGTTAAGCAGCCTTAATATATGAAATTACGATAGTTATACCTATATATTAAACAAAAACACTACTTGACGAGTTAAAATAATATATATATTTGACATTAAGTTATTATATATAAAGACATTAAATGCCTATTCTTTACTATATTCCAATCACAAACACTTATGTCTTGACGAAATGTATAAATTTACATTTATACAAGAGGTAATTCTATAGTCGAGTTACTATTCCCGTTACTCAGCTAGTGAAAGTGCGAACGAGAAATAACATAATTTCGGTAGAAATAGCGAACAAAAAATAAAAAAACGAACAATTTTTTCAAAAATGTGGGCGTGACAGTTTTGGGCGGTAGAGGGGCGTGACAAAAAGTTTTTTTTTTTGGCAAATCGATAAAAATCTAATAAAAAAATGAACAAAAATCGAAACATTTTTTAAAAGTTTGGGCGTGGCATTACGGACGGTCATGGCCAGATCGACTCGGCCATTGATATTTCCGGCTATATATTACTATATATCGTCGGAAAGGCTTTCTTCTGCCTGTTACATACCGTCCTACTAGAGGAAGGCCTGTTGGTGGCTACATATGCGGATGACACGACTCAAACCACAATCTTACTTAGGAGGATGAATGTCCTTCTGTGCGGTAAGCTTAGCTTGTACAAGTACATTTATAAGAAACAGGACTCACAAACAAAGTAATTAAACTTTACTCTTAATTTTTTAAAACTTGTTTAACATTAAATTAAGTAAATAATAAAAGTTGTCAGAGTACATAACACTTACATTATCATTAAGCTTTAAAACACTCCCTGGGCTACTACCGCTTCCACGAAACACTGACATTAGTGAATACTTTGATCGGTCTTCTATATAAACGTTTCGTTTTCTGTCTCTTTCTAAGCAACATTCCAAAGAAGTTCCGAACAATACTGCGCGAGCCTCTTGAAAAATAAGATTTAATTATTTTTAAAATGTTGATTAATAATAATAGGCTGTTGCTTAAAATACACTTACTCTGATCATCTTTCTTTCCATTATCAAAAAAGCTTGTAGTCAATGATTTTTTTTTTGGCGCAGCGCGTCGTTTTTGTGACGATAACTTCAAATCTATAAATTTGATGAATGGTAATATTAAAAGCTTTATTTTTAAAATATATCATGATTTAATAAAAATACGAATTTATTTATACACCAAAAACTCCTCATAACTCTATAGACAAGGGACTTAGAGGGACTAAAGAATGAACGGACATGGTTAGATCGATTCCGCAGGTCATCCTTGTAAGGAATACAATTACTTTATAGGTTCCTTGAAACTGTTACATGTACATAAAATGTTAAGTTATTTTTAACTAACCTTCAATATTCCCAATATTTAGTTCCTGAATTTTTTCCAAAGCAAAACTTTTTATTATATCTGATTCTGTTTTTGACAGCCTTGTTAGATTTGTCTCCACCATTTGAAAAGATTCGCCAGACTCTGAAATCCATAAATAATTCTCCTGAAATTGATTTGACAAGGTTTTATATTTCATTTAAATTACAAGTTACATTTTCTCACCGACGGATACCATTTTAGAGTTGGTGTAGAGTTCTTAGAGCAACTCCGCTTATTTTGGCTTTTGGATCGACTCCGCCACATTCGTTTTGCTACAAATTGGCCCACATTAGATAACGATTTTGACTTCTGCATACTTGCCGTTGCATGACCCTTATCTGAAATTGGTAGTAAGTGAAGGTAACAGAAGGAAGTTATAATGTTATACGCTTCCTAATAAAATTTTCGGTAATTTTAATATAATTTGTAACTCAAATTGGACATTACCTAATTACTCTTCCATTGACCTTACCATCTTACCAAACAAACGAAATTTTATAGGGACTACAATATTTTGCATCATAAAGTTTGATGTGTGTTACACAACATATATTTTAATACCCGTTAGTCTTAGAGTAGAAGAGTATAATAGATTCGTTGAAAAGTATGTAACAGGTAGAAGGAAGAGTTTCCGACCATATAAAGTAGATATATTCTCGATCAGGATCAAGTCGATCTGGCCTTGTCCGTCTGTCTGTCCTTCTGTCCGTATGAACGTCGAGATTTTAGGAACTATAAACGCTAGATTGTTGAGACTAAGCACGCAGCTTCCAGAGACTTACACGCAGCGCAAAGACTTTTAAATGCTGCCACGCCCACTCCAACGCCCACAAGCCAAAGCTGTCAAGCCCACACTTTTAAAAAATGTTTAAGTTTCTTTCAATTTTATTATTTTTTCCCAATTTTTACCGGGATTTCAGAAAATTTTGAAATTTCTCTTTTGAACTTCCACTAGCTGAGTAACGGGTATCTGATAGTAGGGGAACTCGATTATAGCATTCTATCTTCTATTCTAATAATATTATTTATTTTTCTAATTTATATCGAAATGCTAAAAAATGTATACACGCCTACTGTAACGCATACAACATTTTTTAATGTTATTATTTTGTTTGCTAATTGTTATCGAATGTTAAACCTTCTCGTTCGCACTCCCACTAGCTGAGTAACGGGTATCCGATAGTCGAGGAACTTAACTAAAGCGTTCCTCCTTGTTTTGAGTATTATAGTAGTGAACGACTCTTTTGCGAGAAGGAAATAGTTTGATTATATTTTCCACGTGTTCTATTTTATCGGATTAGATTATTGTAAAATATTAAAAACATATTCTATACATAAATCCACAGGTTAACCGATTTTGTAATATTCTTTAAATACATATATAATAAATTATTTATGATTATAATAAAATTTATAGACAAAAAAAATTGTATAACTCTATAACTATAAATATTGCTTTGGCAATCCTAGATTCTTAAACTGAGAAAAATGGTTCCTTAATACCAAATTTTCTTGATCTTCATTTTTGTACTCCTTGCTCATGAAGTATGTAGTAGAAAGACTTTCCAAACATATTTATATTTGATCTTAGTAACTAAAGGAGTGACTCTTAAGCAACGCAAGTTGTCTTACGAGCACATGCATAAAATATTTGAAATAATGTTAATAGTATTTTGTTAAGGTCAACAATTCCCACCTATGTACGTGCCAAATAAAAATTTTGAAATATACTAAAATATTAAAAGAAAATATGCTTTAAAAGATACAGTTATGATTTAGTATGCAAAACTCTGGTAACATCTACACATAGAATGTTTTTTTAACTCTTTGCAACTATATTATCTTTGGCTCCCAGATTCTTAAATAATAGGAATGAACGTCAATGAACACCAACATATTGTACAAATGGAACCACTCATAAGGAAGTTATGATAATTAGAGTAACTGCAGCTTATTGGAGTTCGTGGGCAATCTCAAGGATAATCTCGATAATAATTGTGAGAGGCGTACTCTTTTGCTTAGCTTAGACATGGTATTGACTGCAATGGTATATAAATTAAATAAAAAATATGCATACATATATACTTACTCGAATCCAGGAATTTGTTTGTAAATGTGTTAAATTGCTCTCCAGCATTGCTATGTCCGTGCAAAATATTTAAAATAAATTGAGAACTTGAAGAGATTAGTCCACTGGAAGTCCTTATAGCCTTTTCTAACTTTGAATGACTAGTCGGCGAAGTAGGTGCAGAAGTGCAATTGGAATATGGATGGCTGTTTGCAGGACTTGCGATTTGTGGAGGATGCACTTTACCTCTTAATTCTGTTGGATTATTGTCCCACTCTAAATTTATCTGACTTCGCTCATCCTCTAATCTTAACCATTCTACGTGAGCGTTTTTAAGATTCAAAGAACATTCGTTTCCCCGTATAAAATCCAAAGCTATGAGTGGCCAAGCATTTAAAGTTTGTACAGCCTTGTGTAATCCTGCACTTATTCCCGGTGGATTTATTACGCGCTTTGTTTTGATATTTCTTAAGTTCTTATCATAGTTAATAGATTTAAATCGATTTGAGTCAGAATCTTGCATACTTTTTTTTCTTGCCATGCTCAAATACCGTTTAATCGTATCGCTAACTGACTGAGAAATATCTTCGTCAAGTGAACTTTTCCTACATGTTAAATGTGAAGATTTTAAACAGTTTTTTTTAGTAGGCTCTTCTAATATATTCAAGGTATTATCGCAATTTGTAACCATAGAGATGTACTGCTGCGCCAAAATTTTTAACTCGCTAAGTTTAATGAAATTCGTTTGAGTTCCACAGGTTTTCAGGATTCTCTCAACGCTCTGTCCATTCGAATGGTATTTGTTTTTAAACTCAACGTCCTGCGGAACTTTATTGAGACTTGTTAAAATTGGTTTAGTATCACAATTCTTCAGACATAGGAAATTTTCATGTAGTAACTTATTGCTTCTATGACTATCAGTATTACCTCTAGATGATTGCATTCCATTTTTTAATAGGCAAGACAATGAAGTCGAAATATTAACTTTATACGGATCATTGGAATGTAGCGTTCGATGAAGCTGTTGTTTCTTAAGTGCGCTGTAGATTTTTTTCAAAAGAACTTTGTCGTCGAGAATGTCTGCATCGCCAAACTTAAATTGAATTCCCTCATGTGCAAATATGGGGCAATTAGATAACAATTTAAGATGGGACAAAAGCTCTCTTTGAATCGATGTACCGGAGGACATTACTTGATGGTTGGCACTCTTGTTTTTAAAGTTGGGCCTTTGTGCACTAGGTGATGACGTTTGGTCTGGCCGAACCGTTTTAGTTCCAAGTAATGTTGTGATTTTGTATGCATCACGAAGATTAAGATACGTCTGCAATAATTCGATGACTCGATCGGCAATATGATAATCTTTTGTTGCATCAACTGTGTGTTTTCTGCGGCTAGCACTTGCGTGCCTCGACAATGGTTTTAATCTCCGCTTAGAACTGCCGAATGCTCCAGGGTATGATTTTCTTCGACTCCATAAAATAAAACTTGGTTCAGATAAACACACCCGTTGAAACTGATCTTCAATAAGGTCATGATTACCTGACCCTGTTTGATAACCATCGGGAATTAGTTTGCGTCCTGCATCTGTCATATATCTCCAGGTTTTCCTAGTTAGAAGCCAGCGCTCGCGTTTTTTTTCCTTGTCTTTTATGCTGCGACGACGCACTTTATTTGGAGAAGGAGCCTCTTCAAAGTGCTTACTTGCAAAATTCACTGGCCTACGCATGCTGATGGCATCTGGACAATGTGGATCTTCTGGTGCCAACGACCATATTTTCGATGCGACTGTACCGTCGTTAACCTCGTCAAGTACCATATCCAACGGCCCTGACCTTTTTTTTACGGCCGCCACGGAACTTCTCAATATCGTCAAACAGTTCACTGATTCTTCGTTTTCTTTTGGAATTTCCATATTTTAGGCTGACACAGAATGTAAAGATGATATCGTATAGATATATACCAAAAGGTCTTTATACTTTCTTTTTGTTTATAAAGTGGTTCGGAGTACACATTTTTAAGTTTGACACTAAGATTGATACATATTTATTGTCAGCGCATTAGCACATCACATATTTTCACAACGATATTTTTAAAAGATAGGTTAACATTCATACGGAGAGTAAACACATCAATTTATTTATAAATGCTTATACATATTTGCTTTTCTAAGGGGAGATAGCTTACATATACAATAGAATCGGTATCTAAATATGTGAGCGATTTTATTTATATTTCAAAGCACACAATGGTAATGTTGGATTTCTAGAATAAACAGTACTTTTGTCAAACTTCATTAATAGTGATAGTAACATAGCCAGCCAGAGGTTTATGATTATTTATTTAATTTGTTTCATTTAAATATGTTAAAATAATACGTTAAATATTGATGCCATTCATTTGGAATTCAGACACTTTTAAACATAAGAGCTCGCAAAACAACACCAAATGCCTGACATATTAAGAGAAGGAACATTATTTTCAGAAAAATACATAAAATTATTTTGAAGTTTACGAGATCTTATTTTTGAATGTATTTATGGTATATACAAGCATTACTCTTGTGTACGACTAGTGTAGAAATGTGCATACATATAAATGTTCTGAAAACTTTTTCTGAAAACACACTCAAGAATATGGAAATTTTTTAAATGTATATTTACAAACAAGATGTGTACAATCATATATGTATAAAATATACATACCTTATTTTCACAATCGTCGTGCTTATACCAGACAAATCTGTTGGTGAATAACGAAAAAAAAAATTGTATTTGTGTTTTCATTTTCAATTTAAGTACTGTAAATTACAAATAATGCAATAGTTGCGGAAACTCTGATGAGAAATTACGTTAGTTTCACGTAAATACATTGACCTGAAACGGTGTTATCTTCCGTAAAGTAAACAATTTGTACATTTTACCAGAGTGTTCTAGATTTTTAGTTCGAAGCCGTCTGACCCTAAACTAACTTGCACTAATCTTCAAATACAATACAATTCTACTTCAAATAAAAATTTTTTTTTTTTGGTATTAACCAAAAACATAAGAGAATGCGATTGTCGATTTTTTCAATTATCAGATATCCGGTACTCAGCTAGTGGAAATACTAGGAAAATATTTACAAATTTTTTTTGGCGTAGTAATTAGAAGTTTACAGTTTAAAGATTACTGCGCTTAACGATAGACACACGGGCAGGCATCAAGAATATACATACATACGTGTATATACTAGCACAACCTTTTACATTTCGAGTAGCTGGTATAAAGAACATGTTGAAATTTGTAGGATTAATTCATAATGAACCGCTTACTATTGCCGTTTTTTGGTAATGTAACTTTTATTTATATATATACTATATATATTTATATATATATATATATTTATATATCTACTATATATATTTATATATATACTATATATACTTATATATATACTATATATATTTATATATATATATATATATTTATATATCTACTATGTATATTTATATATATACTATATATACTTATATATATACTATATATATTTATATATATACTATATATATTTATATATATATATATATTTATATATATATATATATTTATATATATACTATATATAATAGTATATATATATACTATTACCGTTTTTTGGTAATGTAACTTTTAATAGTAAAAAATTCATGTTTGAAATTTTAGATATGAAGGTGCTATCGTCACGTTTATCCGATCTCAGTCCGTTCTAAAAAGTACATATGTATGTACATATGTATTTCGCCCATTGTTAATATTAGTATGCCTAAATGCGAAGTCTTATGTATCAAAAAATCAGAGTACGTAGTTTATGTCTTCCAAAAGTGAAGACTACAAAAATGAACAATTAATTGTAAAGTCTGAAATTATAAATCAGTAAATAATCTCTCCCAAATTGTAAGACAACACATATGTAACAATGGGCATGCGCGTATATGTTCAGGGTTGCAAAAATCTGTATACAAGTCGTACTCACAGACACATTAAAAATCGCGGCATAGGGGTTGATTAGAGCTTACCATTGATATAATGATTGTCGATGCCAACAAAATACATGTAAGAACTGAAAGCTTTTTATAAAATTAAAAGCCAGAAAATATAATTGTATGCATGTCAAAAACATAGATCTCAAAACTTAAAAACGTTAAACAGAATATTATTTTAAAATCCAGTAAAGGTTAAAAAATCTATGCTGACATAAAGTTGTTCTAAATAAATATAAATAAAAATCTTGCGTCATAAGTGTTCTCGCGTGTGTACAATATTTAACTTAATTCAATACTTAACAGTTAACATAATTACATAGGTATGTGGAGTTCTATTCAAAGTGAAGCATATGTATCTGTGAAAGACAAATGAATTAAAGCAACATGTCTCGTGGCAAACATGCCACATTTTCGGATAATTCGCCAATTAAGATCAAACCAATCATTATTTTAGTCTTGAATTTAAATATTTGGTGTCAGAATATAAGTGCATCTTCATACTTAAGCTTGAATGGTAAGATACATTTAATTAAAAACTTTCCTCTGGAATGATATTTATGTATTTACCCTTGCGGAGATTGTTTTAATTTTGGTTTGTCGTATTTTTTATTGCAGCGTTTAAATGAGAAATTTGTATGCATACCTGAATACTAAGACAAAAATAAAATACTTATTAGGTTTACTTGAAACGAGCAAAAACGTGAACACAAAATAAAAATGTTAGTAAATAATATTAGATATTGTTGTTAACAATAATTGAAAGGTGATTATACGCAAATGTATAGTGTTAAAGGCTAGAGCGCTCAAAGGTTAACACAATTTTTATTGCAAAAGAATAATGTTTATAAAAATTTAAAATAAAATGTTAAATGTTGTTTTTTGCCATAGTATTTCTATCGCCTGAATTTTTGTTTTGGTTTTTTGGCGCTTTTCTGTACTTTGTTTTAATCTTTTCATAACAAATGTATTCTAACTTTTCGTATATGTATGTACACATATATGTATCTAGTTATCGCAATCGCACACACTACCCGGCCACAGTGACAACGAACTAAATTTTATAATTTTAACTATTACAAATATAGGTGTCATGAGAAGATCAAAAAATCAAACTAAAATGCATACTAAACTTCATAAAAAGATACATACACAATTATATTTCGTTTTTAACTGCAAGGGTAAATAAGCTTAGACTTGGAGAAGATAGAATCCGTTTCGGTTTTACATAAAATAAAAATTCTTTTTAGACCTAACCAATTCTGAGCGACCTTTCTTTGATGATATTAGCCCAAGAAATGTGTCGGCCGTCGTCGACGAAATCGCAATTTTAAGATGTCGGGTTAAAAATAAGGGAAATCGAACGGTAAGTTATAATAGGCCCCTTTTTTGTTTTCTTTCATGTAAGAATACCCAAAATTTCTTATTTTCTTGAATAGCGCTTTCAGTCACCCATTAAAAGCCGACTCTACAAGTTTAAGATTTAAATTTGAACTACATATGGGTTTACGCAAAAAAGGACGTTTCATTTCTGAAGACAATGTCGGTCACCAGTTTTCTCCCGAAGACTCAATTCCTCGCTCTCCCTTTTTAACTCCCCTTCCCTTCTATTTCCAGCGATCAAAAACTCAACAAATTTTTAAAAGTGTGACCGTGACAGTTTTTTGACGGCTTGTGGGCGTGAAGTGGACGTGAAAAATAGTTTTAAGGCTAATCTATAGAAATTTACAATAAAGAATTTGTGCGGTGTGTAGGCGTGCAACATTTGGAAACAAACTTGCGCTGCGTCTATGTCTCTGGAAGCTGCATGCTTAATCTCAACATTCTAGATTTCTAGTTCCTGAGATCGAGGTGTTCATACGGACGAACAGACAAACATGGCCAGTTCAACTCTCCTATTGATCCTGATCAAGAATAAGTTATATGGTCGGAAACGCTTCCTTCGGCCTGTTACATACTTTTCAACGAATCTAGTATACCCTTTTACTCCACGAGTATAAAAATTTAAAATTTCGTAAGTCTGAAGTTTTTCTGGCAAGCTTATATCTAACCAAAGATATTCTTATTAATGACATTAGTAAGGATCTTCAGCCCGAATTTCTCAAAATAGTCAATTTCAGACCCATTATTTAAATAATGATTCCTATAACGGCTATATCGGCTAGCCGAGGAATCGTCTATAGCGCTTTCCTCTGTCCTAAAATTGCTTATATTTTAAATCTTCATAATAATACTTGTAATTATTTCAGGTATCATGGATGCGGAAACGGGACCTTCACATTCTTACAACGAATATTTATACGTATACCGGCGATCAACGATTTTCTGTAATACATCCACCAGGCAGTGAAGATTGGGACTTAAAAATTGATTATGCACAGCCACGAGACAGCGGCGTATATGAGTGTCAAGTGAATACCGAGCCTAAAATAAATTTAGCAATTTGTTTGCAAATAATAGGTATATATGAACACTTAAATAGAAAATGAAGTTAGCTCCTTCTTTTATTATAAAGTTTTTATAACAAAGATATATAATAATTGTGGATGTCCACGTAGTGACGAAGTGTACCAGAAGTGCGTGCGAGTATATATAAACGAAGAAATAAAAGTCTGATGTGGTTGTCCGATAATAACGAATGAGACACAAATCGAAGGGTTGCAAAAAACTAAAGGGATTGAAAACCAAGTCTTGACAATTAAATGGTTCAGAAAAAAAAGCGTAGTGAAATAAGTGCTTAGATACATTGAGAAACTCTGAGTCTGGATTCTTGTGGTATATATCGCTGGAAAGGCATAATGAAACATTTTGTCTAAATGAAACACTCTTTTATTTATTGTGTCGCAGTTAAGATGGGCGTCGATATCCGATAAGCGGGAAAGTAGCTTTAAATAGGTAAATGGCATATTGCAGTTTACCGTATGAACGCTGTGATCTCGGGGAATATAAAAGCTACAAAGTTAAGATCAGATTGCAATAAATACACCCTCTTTCCTATTTAAAAACCAACAAAAAACTTTACTCGCACTTCCGAGTTGTTTAATAAGGGATTTGATAGTTGAGCAGCTCTTTCTTGTTTTTTGCTTAATTTCACCTTGAAGAATTCGCGTATTGGCTTAACCGCATAAAATGATGTATTTATATAATTACTCATACTAAACTTAATTTTGTATTCAATTTCAGCTGACAATGACTTCCGAGACTTAAAAACTGAAAAGCGCTTTTACGACACAAAATGTAAGGATATATATCTTGTATGAAATAAAAATTATCAGTGATTTTTAAAGCGGCTCGAGCCAAAATTCTTGGATCCACGGAAATTCATGTAAAACGGGATAGCACTATTGCCCTGGCTTGCTCAGTTAATATCCATGCACCATCAGTGATTTGGTAAGAAATCAAGATCTTTCAAAGAGCTTTTGACGAATTAGCTCTCTATCTCAAAAGGTACCACGGCTCATCAGTTGTTGACTTTGATTCACTTCGCGGAGGAATAAGTTTAGAAACGGAAAAAACTGATATAGGAACAACGAGTCGACTGATGCTAACGCGAGCTTCATTAAGGGACTCTGGAAACTACACATGTGTTCCAAATGGAGCCATTCCAGCTTCTGTTAGGGTTCATGTATTAACCGGTAAACACAGAAATA